AACCTGGGAAAATGTGGATGAAAATTTTATATTCCTTATATTAATTCATTTTCTTATTTCTTTATTTTTATTTCAGAATATTAGAGAGTAATAAAGCTGTCAGTTACTACTGAAAAGTAAAAGACTAAAATTCAATCCACACCTTTCTCCTCTTACAAGAATTGACTCCAAATGGATAAGAGACTTAAATCTAAGACACAAAATAACAAAAATCTTTGAAGAAAGTGTGGGGAAAACTCTTGATGATGTTGGATTGGGGAAATATTTTATGACAAAGACTTCAGTGGCCATCACAACAACAAAAATTAAAAATGGGACTTAAGCTGAAAAGTTTCTATACAGCCAAGGACAAAAAAAGTAAAGCAAAAAGACAACCTTCAGAATGTGAAAAGATATTTACAGATAATGGATCTGACAAAGTGGACATCTAGAATCTACAGAGAACTCAAATTAATCAACAAAAACTCATCTACTTCTGGGCAAGAGATATCAACAGAATCTTCTTTGACAAAGACAGAGGAATGGGTAACAAACATTTTAAAAAATGTTTATCTTCCCTGATCATCAGAGAAATGCAAATCAAAACTACCCTGAGATATTACCTAACCCCAGTGAGAATGGCCCACATCACAAAGTCCCAAAGCTGCAGAGGCTGGCATGGATGTGGTGAGAAGGGGGCACCTATACTTTTCCTATACTTTCTTCAAGGAATTTTATTGATTCATACCTTAGATTTAAATCTTTTATGTGTCTTGAATCAATTTTTGTAAGTAGTTAGAGATATGGGTCTAGTTTCAGTCTTTTACATGTGATTATCCAGTGTTTCCAACACCATTTATTGAATAGGAATTCTTTTCCTCAGTGGATGTTCTTTGTTTGGTTTATCAAATATCAGATGGCTGTATGATGTTAATTTCATTTGATCGTTTTCTATTCCATTTCAAATGTCTTTGTCTCTATTTTTGTGCGAATACCATGCTGTTTTCATCACTAAGGCCTTGTAGTAGAGCTGAAATGCTAATAGAGTGATACCCCTGGCTTTGTTTATATTACTAAGAGTTGCCTTAGCTATCCAGGGTTTCTTCTGGTTCCATACAAAATGAAAATGTATTTTTTCCAAATTTTTAAAGAACGATATTGGTATATTAATGAAGATGACACTGAATATGTAAATTGGTTTGGGTAGTATAAACATTTTCATAATGTGATGCTTCCCAGCCATGAGAATGGTATGTTCTTCCATTTCTTAATATCTTTTGCTATTTCTTTTCTTAGTGTTTCATAATTTTCTTTGTACAGGTCCTTTACCTTTTTTATTATGCATATTCCTAGGTATTGCATTTTTTGAAGCTTCTGTGAAGGAAATTGTGTCCTTGATTAGCTTCTCATCTTGGCTGTTATTGGCATATACAAAAGTTACTGATTTATGTACATTGATTTTATATCCTGAGTCATTGCTGTATTTTTTTTAAGACTTCCAGGAGTCTTGTGGTTGAGTCTTTGGGGTTCTTTAAACATAACATCATATCATCGTCAAAGAGAGAGAGTATGTCGTCCTACACACCCATTTGTATACACTTTATTTCCTTGTCTTGCCTGATTGTATTGGCTAGAACTTCCAGCACTATGTTAAACACTAATGGTATTAGAGGACATCCTTATCTGGTTCCAGTTCTAAGAGGAAAAACTTTCAATCTTATTCCATTCAATATAATATTACCAGTAAGTTTATTGTAGATTGTTCATTCACATTAATAAATGTACTACTTATATGTATATTTTTAAGTGTTCTAAATAGATATGGATGCTAAATTTTATAGTATGCTTTTTCTGCATCTATTGAGTGGATCATATGGTCTTTGTTTTTGCTTCTGTTGATATGATGAATTACCTTTATGAGTTTGCATATGTTAAATCAACCTTGCATCCCTGGATGAAAACTACCTGATCATGATGAACGATTTTTTAATGTGTAGCTGTAATCTATTGGCTAGGATTTTATTGAGAATTTTTGTTTCTATTTTCATTAGTGAAATTGGTCTGAAATTCTCCTTTTCAGTTGAGTCTTTTCCTGGTTTCAGTATCATGGTGATGTTTGCTTCATAGAACATGTTGGGGAAGATTCCTTCCTCCTCAATTTTTTGGAATAATTTCTGCAGTTTGGGTATAAGCTTTTCTTTGAAGGTTTGATAGAATTCTGGTGTGAAGCCATCTGGACTTGGGCTTTTTTATGTTGGGATATTTTTTGTTGTTTTTTAGACCTCAGTTCTTAAAAACAGTCTGTTCGAGAGATCTATTTCATCTTGATTAAGTATAGGAAGAGGGTGTGATTCCAGGTATTGATTCATTTCCTTCACATTGTCAAATTTGTGAGCATAGAGTTTCTGCATTATTCAGAGATGATGTCTTATATTTCTGTAGCATCGGATGTTATTTCCCCTTTATCGCTTCTGATTGAGGTTATTAGAGATTTTACCTTTCTGTTTCTAGTTCATGTGGCCAAAGGTTTATTCATTTTATTTATTTATTTGAAAAACCAACTTTTGTTTTGTTAATTTTCTGAATGATTCTTTTGTTTTCAATTTCATTAATCTCAGAGTTAATTTTGGTTATTTCTTTTCTTCTGCTGGGTTTGGGATTAGATTGTTCTTTTTCCAATTCCACAAGAAGGTTCATGAGTTTGTTAATGTGCTCTCTTTCTGTTTTTGGAATGTAAGCATCTAAGGCAATAAATTCCTTTCTTAAGACTGTTTTTGCTGTGTTCTACAGGTTTTGATAACTTGTATCTTCATTGATGTTATCTCTGAGGAATTTAAAGATTACTTCTTTTATCTCTTCCTGAACCAAACTATTCTTCAGCATAAGGTTGTTTGATTTCCAAGTCATTGGGTTGGGATGAACATTTTTGTTGGAGTTGAGTTCCACTTATTTGCCTTGTGATCTGAGAAGATACAAGGTATAATTTCTATTCTTTTAATTATGCTAAGATTTGATTTGTATCCTAGTATGTGGTTACTTTTAGAGAATGTACCATGGAATGATAAGAAAAATTTGTGTTTTTTAGCTTTGGGATGGTGTCTTCTGTATATGTCTGTTAATCCCATTTGTTCTAGTGTCTCATTTAAGTCCTTTTGTATCTTTGTTTAGAGTCTGTTTAGAGGATCTGTCCAGTCTGCCAATGGTGTTAAAGTCCTGGCTGTTATAAAGCCTGTCTCATAAATCTGGGAGCATTTAAGTTAGATACATAAATATTTAAAATTAAATTTTCTTCTTGTTTTATTGTTCCTTTGGCCAATATAAAGTGTCCATCTTTGCTTTTCTTAACTTCAATTGTTTCAAATCTACTTGTAATCTACTTGAAAATAAAATTGCAACACTTTCTTCCTAATTCCTTTTTCTTGAAATACTGTTTTCCATTCTTTAACCCTGAGTCTTGATTTGTCTTTCAAGACAAATGTGTCCTTCAAGACAAAGTGTCTTCTGGAGACAGCATATCGATAGCTTGTGATTTTTTTTATCCAATCACCAGCCTGTGCCTCTTCAGTGGTGAATTCAGGTCATTGATATTTAATGAAGGAATTGGTAAGTGTGGTGGATTTCTATTCATCTTATTTTGTAAAAATCCTGTTGTGTAGTTTTATCTTTTGAGCCATTGTGGAAGCTAAGTGTTATCCTTTAGCTTCTGAGTGTTTACTTTGCTGGTGGTTGATTGTGATGGACAGTGTTTAGAATAGGTCTAAGTATTTCCTGTAGAGCTGATTTTGTGGTGAATTTTCTCAGTGCTTATGTGTCTGAAAATGATTTAATTTTTCCATCTTTTTTATATATTTATTATTATCATTATTATTATTTTTAGAGACAGAGTCTCATTTTGTTGCCCTTGGTAGAGTGCTGTGGCATCACAGCTCACAGCAACCTCTAGCTCTTGGGCTTAGGTGATTCTCTTGCCTCATCCTCCCAAATAGCTGGGACCACAGGCACCTGCCACAATGCCTGGCTATTTTTTGTTGCAGTTTGTTGGTGGCTGGTTTGAACCCACCACCCTCAGCACCCCACTCACTGAGCCACAGGTGTTTTCCATCAATTTTGGAGCTTAGTTTAACAGTATAGATAATTCTGGGCTGAAAATTGTTTTGTTTAAGAATGTTAAAGGTGGATGACCATGCTTTTCTGGCTTGGAAGGTTTCAGTTGAAAACTCTTCTGTCATTCTAATGGCTCTGCCTTTGTAGGTCAGTTGGTGCTTAGTCCTGGCTGCTTGCAAAAGTTTTTTTTTTTCATCTTGACTTTGGACAGGTTCATTACAACGTGGCTTGGAGAGGCTCTGTTTAAGTTGAGATGATCCAGGGTTTAATATTCATCTAAAAAGAGTGTGTCAAGGTTTTTAGTAAAACTTGGGAAGTTTTCATTTATGATAGTCTCCAGTAGGGCTTCCGTTCTTTTGGGACAATCTTCTTCCCCTTCAGGAATCCCTATTATTTTTATGTGTTAATGCTTTATGGAGTCTCATAGTTCTCTAAGTGCCTGTTCTGCTTCCTCTTGTTTATTTTGTGCCTCTTAAACTACTTGAGTTAACTCAAAAACTTAATCTTCTAACTCTAAGGTTCTTTCTTCTCCTGATCTAACCTATTTTTGATACTTTCTACTGCATCTTTACATTACCTGATTGTCTCCTTCATTTCCTTAAGCTCCACCATATCCTTTCTATATTTTACATATCTCTTGTCATTTTCTTGTCTGTTCCTTTTGTTACCTTTTTTCTCTTTTCTTAAACATTTTATTCATGTTATAGAGGGATTTATTTTTTACTTGCTTTTTGCCAATCATGAGGAGAGTGTTTGAGGAGTACTAAATCCATCACTACTTCAATGACACAGGTAAGATTTCAGATTCACCTTTCCAGGTATTAAGAGTTCCCTCTAAATGCCACAATCAAGTCAGCCTTCGTTACATTTCTTTCTACTGAACCCAGGAATGCCCATTGGTATCTCTGCATCTTAGGTCAGTATTTCTTCAAGTAAAGCAGCTGTTTGGAATTAAATGTTCTCCTTCTTTTTTGTCTTATAAACAGAATTGCATCTTCATACTTCATTCCACATTCAATCAAAGCAAGTGCAACCAGCACAGGTGCCTTCCCAATTCTGCAAGACAATGCACTGCAACGCAACATGGCTTTTCGCAAAATTTAGTTTTTAACAGATTTAGCCAATCATCTACTATCTGATTAGGGGGTGGAGCTCCATCATCAAATGGACAATCTAGAACATAGATTCCTTCTTTTTCGACTGGAGCTTTATCATATGTAGTTTCATAAACTTGAATCACAGTTGTCACTCCATACTTCTTAAATTCCTCTGTGAACTTGTTGAGAGTAGCATTTGTAGGGTTGTGACTTATCAGAAAACACATGTTTTCAGAGGAGAGCTCAACAGGGGCTGGATGTTTCATTATGGCAAATAGAAAGTGTGAGCGTGTGTATTAATGTGATGGGGAAAATGGAAAAAAATCAATAAATCTTGAAATGTTTCATAGCAGAGAACATTAAAAAGACCACTAAAATGCCTATTATCAATCAGTGTTTTCTTTATTTAACTTGCTATTCCTTATGAAGCTTCTCAAGATAAGCAGGATATTCAGAATCTACTCAAATCCAAATTCAAATTGGGCCTCAATTTCTGCAGGTGGATACCTTTGGACTCCAAAAAATTCAACTGCATACAAAATTTGAGCAGCCTTTACTGCATTTAGGCACTAGTGAGACAAGTTAAAAGTGTAGGTCACCTTCCACTTTTGTTTACCTGATGCTTAATTTTACTGGAGTCATTAAAAGAAATATGCTTGCAATTAAAAAAAAAAAAAGCCAACTATTTCTGAGGCCAGTCTTGGTGTCTAGAGTCTTCAAGGAAATGTTATTTATGGCACATAGAACCTCCAAGCTCATTTGTCAGTGAAAATGCTGTGCTGAGCCTGGCAAAAGTCTGCCCTCACCATCAGAATGGTCATAAATATGCAACTATCTTCCAACAAAAAATGCTGGCTAGCTGGGGACTGAGCACTGAAGTCAAGTGGTGGCAGGAGCGAGGAAGGTGCCTCTCTCCTCAATCACCTTGGTGGTGGTGATGGTAGCGGTGGTTGCAGCAATGACTACTACCCCCAACCTCCGTGGGACACCCAGCCTGGGCTGGTGATGGTGTGTGTCCATAAGTTGGACTTGCTGCTGCTGCTGCTGCTGCAGCCACTGTGTCTCCTGCTGCTGCCTCTGCCACTGTTGCCCTGTGGTGTCACCTAGTATTGTGCCTGGCTGCCACTATGGCTCCAGCCACTTCTGGGTGGACTACATTTACAGCCCAGCTGATAGCACCACCGCTCCTTTTATTATCTTTATCATCCATATCTTAAATTCCCTTTCTGTCAAGGCTATTTATTCTTTATAGGTGGAGTTTCCTGCAGTAGCTGCCTCATGGTCCCTTGGGGGAGTTCCTCTGTTTTAGATTTTTATGTTGTCTAAATTTTTCTGTTGGATCTCCCTCATGTGTTCTTTCTTCTTGTTCACCTCCTTGTCCTCCTTTTTTCTTCTCACTGCCTTCTTTTCAGTGAGACAAATTACCCTATCTCAGAACTTAGGTCTTGAAGTGGTCTCTGCCTCAGCAAACACGTCCTCATGTCCAATTAATAGAAGTCCTTTCTCTCTATTACAATATGTTACAATATAGCACTGGGAAACGAGGTGGCATTGTGGTTTTTATAGGAGAGGGAGAACACAGCCAGCAACCTCTATGGTCTTTATTCTAAACTGAGTTGCCTTTGGTGATTGTCTGATTGTTTCCTCAGCATTCAGACCCTGCCAGGTTGGAATCTGAAAGCTCACAAGAATCCTTCAGGGGCTGGTCTCACTGTGCCCCCTGACTCCAGTTCCCATGGGGTGTCAGCATCCTTCAGCCTGTCACATGAGTGGAGTTCTGATCCTGGCAGGCTGAATTAAGATAGTTGTGCTTTAGGTCTCTGCTAAGCCCTTCTCATGACCTTCCCACAATGGCAGCCCTGGGCCACAGAGACCTTCTCTGTATGGGTGCCTTGCCAGCCACAAAACCTATGGCAAATCCACTCTAACCTGCATTCCAATCTGATTGCTGTATGCAGTTCAAGTCCACCCACACCTGCTCCCAACAACTGAAAATTCCAGAAAGACATTCTCCCATTCAGAACCTCCATGGGAGATAGCCAATCCCAGCCAGTTGCAATCACTTACCTAATTCATCATTTTTCTACTGGTTCAGATCATATGCTGTTTCCAGCTCATCACCTCTTTGCTGTGCTCCTAAGCTACAACTCTGGGTAAGTTTCCCGTGCCAAGGAAGGCTGAGTTTTTTCTTTTCCCCCACTCATTCTAGCAGAGCTAAGCTGAATGATCCTTTCAGTTCTACATCTTCCTCTGCCCCTCATTCTCACATTTTAAATTAACACAAAATCACATGAGATTAGTTAGTGTATGAAAATGTGTAAATTGAGCAAAAATTTTTCCCATTTAGATTACAGTAAACTTTGTAAAAGTATTTTATGAACTTGTGTTCATAAATTTTAATTATTCATAAATTTAATTCCTTTTTTGCCCATGATTTGTTTAAACACTCTGATTTAACACATGAACAAAAATTCTTATCATTTTCTAATTAAACTAAAGCCAAAAAAGTAGGTTGTATTTTATTGATTTAAAAAAATTATGTTACCTTAAACTAGTTAGAATGTTTGTTATTAAAAAGTAAAAAGAAAATTCTGTCATGGATGCAAAGAGAAAGAAATGCTTATACACTATTAGTGGGGCTGAAATTAGTAGAGACTGTATGGAAAACAGTATGGAGATTCCTAAAAGAAGTAAAAGTAGGTCTACCATTCAATACAACAGTCCCAGTACTGGCTATCTACCCAATACAAGCCATTGTATTAAGACATCTGCACTGAAATGTTTATTGTATCACAATTCACAATTGCTAAGATGTGGAGTCAACCTAGTGCTTGCCTATTCAAGAGTGGATTAACAAAATGTGGTACACATATATGATAGAATTGAAAAGATTTAAAATTGGGATTTTTATCTTGTCACCAAACTTATGTTTGCTTAGTTGCTTTTTTTTTACTCAGTCCTCATACTAATGAGATAAATAAGTTTCCTTAAAATTTGAATAACTAGACCATCTAAATTAATGACTAAAATTAAGGAAGATGAAGAAAAGTCAGTTCTTTAAAGAATTTACTTTATTTAACTATGGATATTAGCATTGACCTTAGAAAAACATAATTCTATATATGTCTTATTTATGCCACATAAAACTAAAGCAATCTACCCAACCCTTAAGGCCAGGGACCAGTTTGCCAATTTGTTATCAAAATAAAGATGATATTTGTTACTGGCAAAACTACAGGTATCTTTATAAGTGTCCCATTTTTAAGATCTGTTCTGGGGTTAACAATTTTGTCAAATAAGCATTTTTATGCCTAAGTCAGAGCTAGAAGAGTGTAGCTCTGGATGTGTATAATTTCAAAATTTGCAATCCTACAAAGTAGCAGATTTTGGATTCATTTCAGAGTCTTCTGACTACCAAACTGGCCTTCTTATCCCCAACAAGTGAACAATCTACCTGATGGATGACAACCAGTCTCATCATTTTCCTGCTGCAATTGTTCCCAACAGATCAATAGAGTACATTTTATAAACACGTGAATCTGCAAACTCTCGTAGTCTCCTTGCCTGTCAGCTTTTTAAAAACTTTCTTAACTCTAAACTATCTGGGTATGCCCTTGGGAAAATAAGAAGTTATGGTTCAACACAGAAGTACTAGAAACTAAAGGTTGTTTCATACGTCACGCCTCTATGCCCCTCTTGGTATGTGCACATTTACACACACACAATCACAAGTGCACACACCACTGATTCTGAGGTGCCATAGTTTAGATCCTCAACATATGACTTTTGGGGGACCACAGTTTAGTTCATAAGATGCAATAATAGAAATATTTAGGTAACTAGGCTGAAGTCTTACCATTAAGTCTTAAGACTTAAATAAGAGCTAGGATTTGGGCTTATTTTCCAGTGCCACTATGTTCTTCAACCCCATTTTATGCAAAGCAAAACAGGGTTTAATATTAGCATCATGTGTCCAAAGTTATATGCATCCATTAAGTAACAATAAATAAATTTGCATCCCCAGTTTATGGTAAAAACTTTTTGTGTTTAAATTATGCTATACTTCCCCTATGGATTAAAGGCAGGGTGACTTAATCACAGATATATTCTCTAAACATGATTGACTGGCACATCTGCCTTATTCTTTGAACTACTAGGAAATTATATAAAAATATGAATCATTTGAGCTTAAAATAACTTTTTAAATAATGTGAACTAGGATGACTGGAAAGCAGAGAAATAGATTCAGCCTTTCATCTCTCAGCATAAACCAAATTAATTGACTAGTGCTTAAAATAGTCTCATGCCTAGAAAGCAATTACTAGATATTTGTTGAGTGAATAAAGGATGGCTGGTGTGAATTAGAATGCACAACAGTAAAAGAAACTGAATTAATACTGGAATTTAGAGGAGGGAAAGAATGTATTTTAAATATAGTGCAGATTGTCAAGAATAGTGAAAGACATGAGGGTAAAAAATAACCCCGTTCTGTAGAAAGTAATAGACATTTTGGGGTAACAAGAAGTTAAAATACCCATAGAATACTCATTTAGATTTTCCACAAATTAAGATCAGTAATGCATAAAAGTACAAGAGCAACTGTAATTATAAAAGCCAGGTAGTCTCTAAGGACCTAGCTTATCCTTGACACTGATTATCTCACCACTAAATGAGGCATTCAGCAGTTAATATCAATGTCATGTATATACCTAGAGTCTTGATTAACAGAAAAAGTATTATACCAACTGTATTGATATATGAAGATAATTCTTGAGATGTCAGCTAAACTACACTGACTAAATTATTTAGGTGCAAATTGCCCCTATTGGGACAGCCCACAGCAGAAATTTTCCCCCTATGTTCCTCAGGCTGATAAGTTTTTGAATTAGTAATTTGCATCAGGTAACTCTATAAATAACAATATCTTTGAGGGAAAAAATAGAGTAGGTATCCACAAAGCAGATTTTGTTTTTCACCAAATGCCATGCTTGAATATATAATAGTGATTATAAAAATCCTAAGAAGTGTCTGTGGGGCCATAATAACTTTAAAGAAGATTCTAAACAAGCCTAAAAAGAAGAAAACACTTTGAACCAAGCGATCACCGGAGACATGATTTCCGATAGTATCTACTTTGTGGTCAAGAAAAGATAAATTCTATAAAATAAGAGATAAAAAATGAGATTGTAAATTAAAAATCTGCTATGATTACTATGATGGCTATAATCAAATGAATGGAAAACAACAGATGTTAGTGATGCTGAAG